CGATCGGGGTAAAACTGTACACACTTCAGTGTGTGTTTCTCCTATAAGGTGGAGAAGAAGAAAAACTGACACATACTGGAAATATGTACATGTTCCTTCTTCAAAACTCAGAGAAGAAAAGGAATAAGGGCAAGCAACAGTGAAAGAGATCCTGACCCGTGCAGTGAGGTAGAAAAGTCTTTGAGTATCCGAGTCCCACTGGACCCAAATGAAGTCCTCTGCCACTCTCTCTTTGCTCAGACGCTCAGGATTCTGCATAACCTGTTTGAACAAGTACATGTGTTTTTACCATTCATATGAACATCATTCGGTTTTTATAAATTCTTATATCATAAAAAAATATAAAGAGCAGCCCTTACCACTCTGTAGCCCTCCTGCCTTGTCAGAGTAATGTGGTACTGATCCACATCTGTAGCAACAAAATAACCATTCATGATCAATTACAATAAATATATTCAAACTAGTAGTAGCTTGAACAAAATATGGTATAGTGCAATGCAAAAAAAAGCATATTGATGGTTTCTGGAATATTTCCACAATACATACAGCCATCCTCTGCCGCCAACAGCAAATGACTCTCCAGTACGGTGGTCCGGCATGTCTTAGGATAAAGAAACTAGAAAGGGGTCATGTGAAATAACAGACTATTTCAGTGTGATTTATGCAGGACCTTCATAAGGAATTCTGTATTGTGTGTTTCATCACCAGCTTCACATAACAGCTTTTCATTACTTGCACTTTGACTTTGCAGTCCACCGCCTTCAGGACCTTTGTGTTGTTGATTGGGTGTATCTCAATGAGAAGAGTTAAACATTTTGACACTAAAGAAGAAAGAAAACAGAATTATGTCAGGAGTTAAAGAATAACCTAGACAGCGTGACTGCGAGCCTGTGCTAAGCTCATTTATATACATTTAGATTCTCTATTTTGTGAACGCACTTTTATTTAATTGTATTATGATGAGCAAACTAGTATAAACAACAGAAACAAACCAAACAATAATTAGGCCTACAGTTAAACTCTTTGTATGTATCTGGTGACAGAATTAGGATTTCTTTAAGACACAAAGGAGAAATCTTTATGCAACATTTATTTGATCAACTTCACTATGATGCTACCACAGCAACCCATATGAGAAGTGAAAGCATATTGGTAAAAAAAATTGCAAAGAAACTTCTTCATCCTCAAATGGTTCAACCATAAAAATATTTGAGAAAGAGGAACTTGTGACAATCATGCCATAGAGGCAAATAAAACTATGTTAAACTGTAACTAATAACTGAAAATTACGACAGTTGATATAGTGGTGTTCAGTCAAATTTATTCAGTTGTCCATTTGAATAAATACAGAAACATTTCTCAATGTCTCACAAAACTGATTATTATTATTATTATATGAATAAAAGGGCTAAAAGAGGGCTTGAATTTAAATTTAGGAGTGCATTAAAAAACTTAAGCGGTGCAATGAAAATTAATCAAATAATGTGCTTTTCTTAATAAAGGGATACAATGAGACATTTACAGGCAAAATGAATGTATTAAAATGCAAAAAGTAATCTAGGTTTTTAAATATTTCTGCTTAAACTATATTTAATAATAATGTAATTATTTATAGGCCTACTTTAAACTGTGTTTGTGTGTGTGTGTACATATATATATATATATATATATATATATTGTATTTACAGTTACAGTTAGCAGCACTCCTATTTATTTAATGTAATCATAGCCTTTGAAGTTTAATAATCACTGGTTGTATGGTGATTCCTGTTTTTCATCCCCAAATGTAATACTTATTCAAATGATAAATAAGACCTTTTATATACCATTTAAGATATTTATTATGACTTTTTATGACCTTAAATCTTATTTAAAAATGAATTTTTAGACTTTTTATAGACCTGTGGGGACTTCACACATGCTCCTAAATACATTCTAGTTCGCTCACATCTATTTTTAGTCAATGTGAGTAAAAGGCTTGCACTGTTGAGCCCTGCAGTGAATAACTATTAAAACAGTAAATAATATATTGTTATGAATGATGTCTTGTACCTGGTTTAAGGCGGCCGTCTCCCTGTGTGGACTGAGATAGGCTGACCGCTAGCACAGAAAAAAAATCTCACATTAGTAATCATCTTCTCAAACCCATAATGAACCAAATGAAACACTATTACCCATACAATGATGCTGCTTGTATGCTAAAAATAAATTATATTGGCCTGTAGTCTCACCCAGGAGTGTTTCTTCTTTATTTAAAGAGCAGCTGCTGACACACACTTGCTTGTCAAAAGTGTAGAGGAGCTGTGAACACAAGAGGCACGCGGTTACACAAACATTTCATGGTTCAATTCATTAAGACTGAAAGTGATGCACAATTCTCACATTTATTTTAATACACAAATCCAAGTTGTCATTTTTGACTGTAAATTTATATTCGGTTTATAATAATGTGTATATGATTGGAATTGCATATCCATAGGCCCAATGTTCATCTCCAACATGGTTACCCATTCTGTACCTTATTCTCTGTACTGTGAGGATCATATTTCCCAATCCTTGTAGTTCCTGTTGCCCCCTAAACATAAGGATTGGGAAATCAGTAAGTTTATAAAAAGAACTTTTAAAAGGTCAAAAGAAGCAGAAAGGATAACAGGAAGTGAACACAGTGACATCCATTCAGTTTGCATGTAAGCCATTTACTATAGCGTCTATTGTATGTATGGCATGTAGTGCTCATTTGCTACAGACTGGCGACATATTGTCCCTGCGCGCGTCATTTGCGCTGCTATGAATGGAACGTCGCGCGCATGACCTGTCAAATTAAAGTGACGCATGAAACACAAGCCAAACTTACTCTCCAAGAGTACACGACCCCTCCATCTTTCTCCACACTCAGAATGCGAGGCTCAAGAACACCTGCACACATTTTAAACAAGTACAGTTATATAAACAATAAAAGCATGCCCTCAGCGACGTATTAACAATACCAACAAAAATACGGTTGGGTTAATATCATTAATGATAATAATAATTTAATTATTAAATAAACAATAATATAGCAAGTGCCTTAAGTCCGCATAAGTTACCTATATTCGCTCTTTCCTCCTTCGCCAAAATGCTTGCCACAACATCTTTTTGAGTATCGAAAGTGGGGTTTAATCTCAACATATGTGTGATCTGTCCTGCACAGATTTAACTAGACCTGAGATTGAGGAAATGACCTGATTTCAGTCCTCGGCAGTGTCATTTACGGCATACAAACTTTCTGGCTAAATGGCACACTATTTAGAAAAATTGCGTATTAAATCTTACTAGTCGCTCCACTTTATCGATGTGCTGAACACAGACAGTGCGCTAATCATTAGAAATGTATTACTACTAGAACGAATCGTTCTTTTGAACCGGCTCTTTAAAATTAATCGGTCGAACTTTAGGAGTTGGAAATGATCGAGCTGACTGACCCTGTGACCTAAAAAAACATCACGATCGATCATATTCGACTCGAAATGAACCGAAAGTCCGTGAATCTGCCGATCCCGACATCACTTGCGGTGTTCACAAAAGAGCTGCCATATGAGCACGAAGGCGGATCCAAAACAGTTGAGCCAATCAGAAATCACACTCTTAGGTCTACAGTGAAATGTTACTGAGGAATTATGTTTATACATATATTTTTTTTATTGCATTCATTATATATCATAACTGCAAAAGTATATTCATTTAGAAAAATGTCGATCTATTTCTATATTTAAATGATTGCATTTAAATCTAACATATATTAAAATAAACACTTTGGTTAAACGTTTTCAAAGAGCCTGACGTTTTCGTTTTAAAAGTAGCATTGAGTAAACTATTGAAAAGTTTTCAATTTTCTCTTAACACCTACATTTGCTGTGCTGATCAGTACTAGGTCTCTTGTTAAATTGTAGTTATAGAAATCACCGCTAGAGAGGGTGCTTGACTTTTCCATTCACTTGTACAAATTGGTCTGTGAAAACTTTCAATATTTTTAACATTTATTTCTTGCTTTTACATTTTTACACCAAGTAACAAGATAACAAAGCAACAAAAATGAATATATTAAGTAGCCCCCCCTCCCAGCACCAATCTTTTACACATAAGCTACAGCATTTGCTCTTTTCAGCCTATTTGGCCAGTACTGTGTAGTCATGCACAACAGCAGGTGCCCAGTCACTAAATATCCTCAACAATTAAGACAGCTTGTAAGAAACTATTAAATTTGGAATGCTGTATGATGTTACTGGCTGCGATGTGTCATACTCAATATACAAAAACGCCTAAACTTATACAATAACAGCCATACACTGGAAGTTCACTTACCAATTTGTGTTCTCCACTCAGGCGTTTACCACCAGTAGTTGTTATTTGGTTAAAGGTTTGATCATCTTAAGTTAATTTGCCGACAATATGCTAAAATGTTTTTGAAATTTAGCCGATTATTTGCATCCCTTTAAACCCTGTAGATTTGTAAAACTTGATTACATAAAGGATAGCAAATTTTTAGCATTATTTATCTTCCCTTTAAAACCACTGATTGAAGCTACATCTTGCATGTGTTACAACACAACTAAAAAAATGGTTGCATAGGTGAACAATGCTCACAATCAAACAAAAATGAATCAACTACATCACTGTGTGAATGAAATGCACAGGAACAGATAGAGAAGGGCTGGCTGCTCACTGGCACTGACATAAACAGAAACCAAAACCCCCTAATTCCCCTCTTCTTCAAGTTTCTTCTAGGTAGGTTGCAATCATACATTAAAATTAAAACTGCACAAAAACACAAAATACATTTGTGGGGAATATTCAGCATCAGGTAGTTAACTATATCATACAGTGTGTCTAACAGTGTACATGTTTCATTTGGGTTTATACAGATTCTCAACTTCCTTGGGGAAAGAAGCTTAAAAGTGACTGAGAGAAATCAACTTTATTGCAGTTTAGTCACCTAAGAGGTTAAAACATCCTCTGCTTTCTGAACGTAAGGCTTCAGTGATGTATCTGCTTCCCTTTTTTTCTTTTTTTTTTTATCTCTGACCCTGTTTGATCCAGTGTTGAAGAGCATTTGGACAACATTTGTGTCTCCTTTTAGCTGAGCAGCAGGACAAGAGAGACTCTCCGTATGTTTGGCCATATAAATATTATGCTTTTTTCCCCCTTTTTATTGTCACCAGGGACTCCTCTGAGAACAGGTCTACTGTGTAGCACAAAGCGGCAGTGCATAAGCTTCTCATCTGCAGAAATCTGCATTGAATTGTCATTTACATTCTAATCCTCCTTTTTTCAGACCATCAGTGCCAGTTTCACGCCTTGCCTGCCTTCATATAAGTGGGGATGGTGCCGCGCTGTGTCAATCCCTCAAAGCGTTTGTAGGTGTAGTTAAGGAAAACCCAGTCCTTGGACTTGAAGTCTGGTTCTGTTACATTTGTTACTGAAATGAGAGGTGAAGAGGACAGTCAGAACAACAAATAGTGACATGAAATACATCTAGCTATTTTATGGATTACATCTGTTCGTATATGAGTAGATGTAAAAGAAGTGGGTTATATCCATTGCACATGGTCTATATTGAGTCTAAAGTTCATAGACAACAGATAATGGGTCTCTTCCCAGGAAGACTTCATACATCAATAGAATGCCACTACTTTTGACTCTTAAAGATGCTTGATCCCTGAGCACTAAAGGTATGGATACATTTTAGTCTGTACATTTATTATAAGTCAATCACTACTTAATAAATCAGTACATTTTACAGGATTAAGCATGTAATATATAATATTTATATATTTAAATATGACTTTATTTGTATCTTTATTTTACTCATATATCCTAAACCGCTATTCTAAAAACTGGAAAACAAGACATTTCCGAAAGAACCCATAACTTAAATGTATTAAGCAAACTTAACAATAACCAAATTTAACTTGGCCACTGAATCAGACTAAAGGTCCGTTCACACCAAGGATGAAAACTTTAACTTTAAGTTTTAAAAATGGTTCTAATTTCTAAGAAAATAGCAAAGTACACACCACAACTTTAACGATAATAACACAGAGGAATGATCACATGAACGATAGAATAGTTGACAGCAAATCAGAATCTATCCAAATTTAACGCGGCAGACAAAATAACCGCGGTATCGTCCAGTGGTGTGGACACTAATATAGTTTCTGGTGTGAACAGGCCTTAAATCTGGAGATGCACAATTTTGATGCAAATTCAAATATTTTTTTAAGTGTGTGTATTTTTGTTTATGTATGGTATGTCCATAAGATTTAGTTGATTATCAAAAACAGTTTACAGTACCTGGCTGTAGAATGTCTGACTCTGGAAAGTCATCAAAGTTGGACGTATCATCGATGCTCTTGATGTCAATGGAAATAGCAGCAGGTCTCTCTCTAGGAGAAGGTAAACAGTTCAATTTCAGTTATCAACTTCAAACAATGGTTCTCTATGATCATACACACAAAAGACTTGATTACATTAACGTTTCCAAAATAAACATTTTATTTGACCTGTTTATTAACAGTGGTTTTGCAGTTCTAGACGATACTGTGACGACGCAAGAAACAGAAAAGTGTGTGTGCAGAAGTACCTGATATGCTCCCAGTCCACGGACTCAAAGAAAGGGTGAGATTTGATTTCATCCACACTTCCTGACCCAATCCTGTTTTCTGCATCTGTGCAATACCTGAGAACATAGTCAAACAGTTTGGTCAGATCAAATTTCAAATTATCTCAAGTAATGAAAAGCTATCTTTTGAAAACGGTGGCACTCTTTACTTGAAGGAAACAATCACTTTAACCTCAAAAGCCCAGTGATGTTTTGTTTTTCTGAATTGTTAATCGAATCCTTTCTTCTATACGGTTTGTGTTACATATATGGAAATATCTCTGACCTAAGGATCAAGTCCTTGGCTCTCTCTGAAATGGGGACTTCAGGCGGGAAAATTAGCGTTTCTCGCCAGTTCATGACCTTCCTGTAGGTTTCCTGTGGCGTCTCGGAACAGAAGGGTGGGTAGCCTGGAACAGGAAAACAAAACAAACACCTGTTTTAGCACAGGAAAAGGCTACAGCAAAATGCTTTTACAGAAAGAAAGGACTGGCCTGATATGACCCGTTTACTTTAGTGTTTAGTATCTGAAAGTACTAACCTATCAACATCTCGTACATTATCACTCCAAGAGACCACCAGTCACAAAGCTTGTTGTAGCCCGTCTGCATGAAGACCTCAGGGGCGATATAGTCTGGTGTCCCGACGGTTGAATATGCCTGTATATGAAAGGAATGAAATCACAAATTTTACCAGGAAATTTATGTTTTGTAACATAAAGAAACTCTCTTCTACCAGCTGTCTTCGGTTCTTCTTCCATGTTTCTGCTTTCCGTTTGGAATTCATGTTTTGGAAAGCTAAAGGAGGTGGAAACAGAGCAAATATGGTTCATTTTGTCTGGTTAATTAGGGCGGTAAATAAAAAAAATAAAAAAATTACATTTTGCCTACAGATCCACTTAAAACGTTGATGAAGTTTTCTGTGCCATAGTCAGACTGAAAAGATCAGGGACCTTTTTGAAATAATCTTCAGCTGATCTCTTCTATATTTGTAATTCTTCGTAAAGATATGCAGAGCAGTATGTGCTACACACAGTCAGAAACAGCAAGGACTTGCTGAACTTTTTTCCTTATTGGTAATCCTATCCTATTTCTGTTATGTCAGTGTGACTGGGAAGGAAAATGTTCTGAATATGTACAGCAAGTCATAGTCAAGGAAAATTTATTTCTTATGATATGACTTCTTTATTTTTTTGTATGTATTAACAAGTGTTGTTTCTCTGTGTAATTTGTGTATCTGGGTTACTCACAGAAGTCACTGGGAGGGTTGTGCGTGAGGTTCCTGTAAAATTCAGTCCGATGGGCCTTCTTCAAGCCTGTGCAGAGGCCAAAGTCAGACAGTTTGACATGGCCCTACAAATCATAAAGACAGAATGTTATGAGGTGTTCAGTTTCATACAGTACAATAGCCTTCCATAAACCCATTCATCTCCGTTGAACACTGTGACCATGTTATATTGTTTTGTGTGTGAGTAAATAAGAGATAAAGGCGAATTCCCACCCGTGAGTCGAGCAGCAGGTTGTCAGGTTTGATGTCTCGGTGAATGAAGCCCAGCTGGTGAATGGAGTCAATGGCCAGGACAGTCTCTGCAATATAGAACTGCGTAGCTTCTTCCGACAGCGTGTCTTTCTTCATCAGCAGAGTCATCATATCTCCTGAACACACACACACACACAAGAGTTACGGCCTCTGGGCAGCTGCTCTAAAAATAGGACTTTCCATAGTGCTGCTACGAGCAGACTGCCTTTTCCAGTTCTAAATCCCTAACTGCTACATCAGTAAAGAACATGTGACATTTTGTTCATCTGTCTTCACCTCCAGGCAGAAACTCCATGATGAGATACAGATTGCGTTTATCTTGAAAGCTGTAGAACATCTTCACTACCCAGGCGCCATCAGCCTCCACCAGGATATCTCTCTCGGCCCGGATATGAGCCACCTGCCCCAGGGAGGAATACAGGTGAGGAGAGATATTATCAGTGGCTCGGTATGACAGACACGGGACTATCTGAGATGGCTGAATTAAATGGAATCGAATGGAGTCCATACCTGCTCTTTCTCTAACATGTCTGATTTCCTGAGGATCTTCATGGCATAAATGTGACCGGTGTCCTTTTTCTGAACCAGGCGCACCTGAATACAGCACAAAATGAGGATTTTTGGAGAACCGACTAAGATTGAAAAAAAACCCTCCTCATCCATCACCTTCTCCAGCTTCTTCTGCCTGAAACAGAGGGAACCGCTGCATCATGACCAGCCACAACAAATTCGCTTTATTGTAATCAAATAATACTTGACTGAAATGATACGTTGAGTGATGCAGGTGTAGTGGGTTGTAGTGTTGCTATGGTTACCTCATCTCCCGCTCCTCGTGCTGGGTGAGCAGGGTGCTGTAGAAGTGCTCCAGCGTGAGTTTGGCCACCGTGACTCTCTCACGTGTATGGTTACTCATCGGGAGCGGCGCTGCCATGCCACCCGTCATGGCCATGCTAGTCTAGAACAGGAAAATAATTTGCAAAGCAAAGCTCTCTGAATATAAATGAACGCAACTACACCAAAGAGCCTTACTACCAAACAAACCACATGTACAGTATGTCTACATTTTAATAATTACAACAATAATTGATTGATTAATCAGTATTTATTATAAATTATATTATTTTTAGATAACATTAATGTAATTAATAATAATCATCACAGCGCCATCACAGTGACCAGCAACAATAAAAATATAACATTGAATGCTTTTATTCTCATTATACCATGTACAATGAAATTAGAGTAGCTTCCCTTTAACATATATCACATAATATACTACAGCAAAACATTAAAAAGTGGAATTGCACTAAGACTACAAAAATAAAGAGTTATATTGCACAATAATAGTGTATTGCACCAAGTCGTGGCTTTTTTTCTTTTGAACATTGAATGCTTTTATTGTCATTATACCTTGTACAATGTACCATCTACAATAGCAAAATAATTAATCATAATTATAAGATTTATTTTTAATTATTATTTTATCAATTCAATTTTTAGCTAATTAGGGTTATTATAGGTAACTACAACTAAAACAATAAAAGTACATTTTTGTTACTTGAAATAAAATAAACATAAATAAAATATAAATAGATAAACTTAAGTTCAACATTTTCTCACTTTTGACTAACCAAACTTGATGAACCAAAACAACTAAAACAAAACCTGAAATTAATTTAAAAAAAAAAAAGATTATAAAAAACTAGGATTATAAAAACTAAGAGTATAAACTATAATGTAATGATAGTAAAAAAAGAAAAAAAAAGTGGCCAAATAGTTCATTAATTACTGGTAGGTGTGAGTCTCTCTAATTGGTGAGAAAATGTAAAAACCCGAAGCAGAGTTTTAAATGAGTGATTTCAGAACACTCGAATGAAGAAATCTATTCTATCGCTCCGTTCCATTCATACACGGTGTTCAAGGCCGGTTTGTATGTGCGTTGCTGCTTAGATACACGCAAAACTTGACGGTTTGGCTTCTTTTAAACCATTTCCAACTAATTGACGAATTTTTGCCTGAAAAGTAAGTTACTCGAGATTCATTTCTTGTTTATGGAACTGTCTTTTAAGCAGTATCATGGAAGCAAGAGTGTTGTTGTTCTGAATATCAAATACTTGCAGTTTTGTGCCTAACAGCCGAATCGCAACCGCGCAATATTCAGTATAACAGCAGCCGTGCTCACGTCATATTTCTTAATTAACATTTTTAATGTCTAAGCATTGTTTGTTTGTAAAATGTAGCCGCTCGAGACTGAGAAGGCTCCTGCACCTGCTCATGCTGCGGTCACTGATGTTCAAATGAACGCGCGGGGGGGGGAGAACGCAAACTTGATTTGAGCGCGCTCGGCCTCGCGTCTGCGTGCGTGACCTTGCGGCAGTGACATGCAGTTTGACAGGTCTAGAAAAACAGATGCATTTACGTGGAACCCCCCACACAGATCACAGCGAGATGGTCATATTTAATAGAAGACTGAAAAAAGCCTCGTTTATCAAAAACGCATAACATCGTGATGGATAGGTGATGTATAACAAACCAACATTGCGATTGTTTGTTTAGTCGTCACACACCTGATTCTGTATAATATATTATGAGCGCGAGCCTGCATAAAGCTGATGATTTACAACAGCACCACTGTGATTTATTTCCACCATCATATTTCTAATTTCTCACCTCCCCGTCCTCCTCCAGATTGGACAGTTTGCCGGACACCCGAGGATCAAAATAAGGATGAAATGAAGCCAAGTGAATGGCCGTCAGTTGAGCAGGCGGATGAGAGTGGCTCAGTGATCGCTCATGTTTATTCTCTATTCAGGCTGATGTTTGTTGAGCGCTGCGGCGGAGCTGCGCTGAATCTGATCCTCCTCCCCACACGCGCTCACTCTGACAAATTAAGAGTCCCTGACATGACATTTTTCCAAAATAAAAGTTGGCAAGAGAGAATAATAGGCTACTACAATAGAATAAAGTACAATAGTATACATGGACAAAATAGCCCAAAAAGTAAACCCTTCAGACTAAGCAAAACAGTTTAACTTAAATATTTTTTATTTATTTAAAAAATTTTGTGTATTTAAAAAGTGCATTTATTTAAATGTTGTATACATTTTGTAAATATCGTTTTTTATTTATTTTTTAAATATATATAAATAATTATTATCCTGTTTAAAAATATATTTTTTTCTTTTGAATTTTCAGAAAAAAATCCTAACTCATGATTTCCACAAAATATTAAGCAGCAAAAATTTGTAATAAGAACCATTATTAATTATTGAGCACCAATACAATAATAACTGATAATAATTGACCACCAAATCAGAATATTAGAATGATTTCTGACGGATCATGTGACGATGAAGACTGGAGTAGTAGCTGCTGAAAAGTCAAATTACATTTTAAAATAGATAAAAATTGAAGAAAATAATATTAAGATAGACTAAATAATATTAAAATAGAAGAAAATAATATTTCAAAATATAAATAATAATGTCATTATTATACTGTTAAATATTTTGAATTTTCTTTAAAAATCACAATTTTGTGATTCACAAATCAAAAAAATATTAAGCAATGTTTTCAACACTGATAATAAGAACCATTATTGATAATTGAGCACCAATAATAATTGATGATAATTGACCACCAAATCAGCATATTAGAATGATTTATGAAGCAACACCTAAGACTGGAGTAAAATTCAGCTTTGCCATCACATGAATAAATTACATTTTAAAACATATTGAAAAAAATCGTTCTTTTTTAATTACGATAATATTTCATAATATCAGTTTTTTTCTGTATTTATGATCAAATAAATGCAGACTTCTCTTCTTTAAAAAACATTTATAATATTTTATATTATATATTCATACTGCATAATTACTATTTATATGTAATAGCCTATTTAGAATATATATATTCAAATGAGATTTAGTACCTCAAGATAAGAAGAAAGAAAACACTTCACCAGAAAATACTTGGTTCTTTCTTTATTTCAGCATAGATCACCGATGTTCACCTTTTAACTAAAAATCATTTCAAAATTAAGTTTTAGGTGTACAGTAAGACACATGGGATTCCTGTAATGCAATATTCACAGTGTCCGCAACAGTAGCATTTGAAAAAATAACGACATACAGTATGCACTTCAAAAATATCCCTTCTTGTGCATTTATACCTGAGCAAAAACACACATTACAAGATATTTAATGTAAGAAAGTTAAACATGACACATTTTTGTAATTTATTCTGACAAAGATTTATAATCTGTTGTATTAATAATGCATAGTTATAATAATTGTCAAAAACAAAAATTAGTTTTTGTGCAAGTTGCAGGACAGACAACTTAAAATCAAAGGTTTAAATACAAGACATCTTTGAATTCCCATAACAACCTAATTTGCATGTCATAATGGTCATTTATTAGTCCATAGATCACCTTCGGTCAGAGAAAGATGTGAAAAGCCATGCTAACTCTTCCTGTTTTTCTCTCTCTCATTTACACACACATCAATAGATTGTGCACTTTTCCTCTGCTTTATATAGAGATACAGTCACATACAGCTACTCGCCATAAATTCTCCTCTGTAATGTCACAGTTCAGTGAAGCTCAGCTTCTGTTCATCCTTGTCTGGGTCTCACTTCGATCGATCCCCACTGATCACACTGATTTTTCAAAGACGTTTTTGCAGATGGTTCAGAGACAGTGTGAAGACAAAGCCATAAAAGCCCAGCACTGTTAAAAAATTCCACAAACTTGTACAATTTAACGAGTAATGCTACATATAATTGATGTTGAAGACTTTGCACTGTAGAAAAATAATGTGTTCTAGTCTAGTCAACTCATGTTATTGCTAATAAAAACATGCTGAGTTGAGCATGTGCGCTATAGGTGACTCTCTTGGGAGTTTAACAGGCCCTCTGTCATCGACGGATGAGTGCAGAGACTGATAAACAGGCTAGGAACAGCATGATGGACAAGCTGATTGCCGCGGCCCCACCGCAGTCCTTAGCATTTTCCTAAATCAGAACAGAGACACGAAATATGTACCAGAGATTTCAGAAAAATCTTATTTTGCATGCAGACAGATTGTAATCAAAAGGCATTGCTGCAATGCATGCCTGAAAGCAGTCTAGTATGTGTGTGTTTACTTGAGGGTGGTAAGCGTGACAAGACTCAGGCCTTCTTCGTATCTTTTGAGATCTCATGCGGTCACATTTCACTGAGGCATTGTGTGCTCAGTGGTTAAGAAAAAATGAAGAAAAAGCAAGAATAGCCAACAAACAATTGCTTTATACCTCAATCCAGTTCACAAATATATATTTTTAAATATAATACACTTTATAATCCACTTGAAGTTATACAATGGGTTGCTTGTTTTAAAAAAGGTGCACCCAGTACATTGTGTAAAACATTTCTAATGAAGTAAATGTACTGTTTGCACCTTTAAGTGACTAAACAGATCTCATTCAAAGCTATGATTCATCTCCTCAGTGTGTGGTCTGTGGAGCCTGATTTAGCCAGTAGCCCCTCACTGCAGAACAAAGATCCAGGGGGCGGGGTTGGATCCACATCTATGGGGTGGAGATGGTAGGTTTAGGGGTGGAGATGGGAGGGTTTAGGGATCAGGGGGTGGAGACGGGTAGGTTTAGGTATATGTAAGGTGGGAGGAGTTGAATCTGGATCCAACCTCGCCCCCTGGATCTTGTGTTCTGCAGTGAGGACCATCTCGATTTAGCTGTGGGTTTAAGGATATATTTGACCTCTTTGGGCTCCATGGTGATTGGTGCGTACTGCCGAGAACAGTCACAATCTGCGTGAATCACCACCAACAGTAAATTACTATCAGGAATCTGATTAATTACAAACACCCTGCGGGCAATAACAGAAAGAAAGAAGAGCGAGCGATTAGTTAATGGCATCTATAGTAATAGTTAATGGAGTCTAGTTAATGGCATTCTTATTACAGGCCATGTTTAATAAAAAGAAATGGTTATTCAGAACAAAATGACCGTTTTTAAACATTTCAGTAATGTAGATATAGGTTAGGAGAGAGTTTGGTGCGGAGTAGACACTCGTGAAATGAAGTCGCGATGACCTAAGGAGGTAACCATAGCAACATATACTGTAAGACTGCTCGTCTCAAGCGCTTTCCACTAGAAACTGTATATCAATGAGACATACTGTAAATACGGTCATTTGTATTTGACTGTGCTCATAGTGCCAAAAGACAAACTGTGCCCAAAAATTACTTATAGATTAGAAATTATAGTTAAACAACTGAAACCCTTTAATCTCGTTGTATAATTAGCACACTCAAGTAAACTGAGACCTTGTGCAGAAGTTCGATAAATATTTGCTCACCATGTTAATTTTTCAAGGGACGAGATGCAAGAGGACCATAATAATCCTAGCCATTATTGATAAAGAAAATGATTATCTAGTGAAAATAAAGCAATATGCTTAAAACTGCTATTTTCCTAAATATTACTGGCATATCCTCTCTGTTGTACTGTAGCTTTATTTTCCTGTATATTATGTCTTCACCACTAGAGGGCGTCAAAAAGACAGGAAACTATGTGAAGGTAGTAGAGAGCTGACTGTGAGCATAGGTTTTCTTTTGCCTGACAAACTAATATATTAACGCTGTGTTCCAAACAGGATAAATCCTCCTCCGAAGGGCACTTTGGAGTGAGAACGATCATGGCCCCATATTGAAGGGTTGTTCCAAAAACTAGCCACTTCAAAGGGCCCTTCGGAATGAAGGATTTTAAAGGGTACAACTGATGGACTCTTCGCTCCCATGATTCTTTGTGCAGGTTTAATTTTCTTAAACCTTAATTGGTTCGGCAAGATGACGCAGAAGTACGTTCCAAGGATTTATAAATCCAAGAACAGCTTAATAATCACAACATTTAGCAAATCAGACTTGACAAGAGCTTATTAAAATATATGTATTTTTAATTGTGAGATATAATATTTAAAAAAAAGTAATTGCGTTGCAAATCCATCCATGGTCAAATGATCTACAGTATGTGTGCTACGCTGTGTTCCAAACAGGATAAATCCTCCTCCGAAGGGCACTTTGGAGTGAGAACGATCGTGGCCCCATATTGAAGGGTTGTTCCAAAAACTAGCCACTTCAAAGGGCCCTTCGTAATGAAGGATTTTAAAGGGTACAACTGATGGACTCTTCGCTCCCATGATTCTTTGTGCAGGTTTAATTTTCTTAAACCTTAATTGGTTCGGCAAGATGACGCAGAAGTACGTTCCAAGGATTTATAAATCCAAGAACAGCTTAATAATCACAACATTTAGCAAATCAGACTTGACAAGAGCTTATTAAAATATATGTATTTTTAATTGTGAGATATAATATTTAAAAAAAAGTAATTGCGTTGCAAATCCATCCATGGTCAAATGATCTACAGTATGTGTGCTCTTACTTTTGACATCTCCCACACTTGATCATGCTGTTGGTTTCTTTGATTGACGGCTCATAGACGAAGCTGGGATACTCAGTGTCACAGGGCTGCAGAATGTCCCCCTTTGACTTCTTACTAGCTACAAAACAAATCTACAGTTATCTTTCCAAATAAATTTGAGCGTTATGAATTCCAAAATGCAGGGTCCTTTTATTTTCAAATGCCATATGCTATAGGATACTTTTATTATACGCTTTCAACAACAGTGTGATTTGAATAATCTAGACAGCAATAAAAAAAAATGTCACTTTGATCATGAATAACAACATGACCAAATCGTTCTCTGCTCTCTTTTTCACACACAGCACTAGCAATATCACACACAGTGATGGAGACAGCACTTACATGAATGGAATAAGGTCTTGGCTGTGAAACGTCAAGATGAAGGAGGGTTACAGAATTAAAGATATAAGAGGGCAGGTGAGGAAGATGAAGAAGGAAGACACAGGAACCCCCAT